ACACTCCCTGCACATATCCACAGGGGTATCACATGGAACCAATGGACTGCTTACTCAACGGGGAGGCGGAAGTTCTCATGGGCAGGTAATTGAAGGAGCGAGAGTGGACGAGAGGACTGCTATTCAGGTACCATCATCCAGGAATAAGGAAGCCTTTCCAGAGAGTATGGTCAGGGTGGCTCCAATGTACTTGGCCAGCAGGGATGGACCTGGAGTCCTAGGCTGTGCACCCCCCCAGTGGCCACAAGGGGGCGGCAGAGGGCACAGTCCCGGTGTCAACCTGTTAGGGCCAACACCAGGCAGTCAATCAGCTAGCCCAGCTCTGGCTGGAAAGGAGACCTTGGCTGCACAGGGTAAGGTGGACCTACAGTCAGAGGTCCTGGGAAGCAGAGAGCCTGGACCAAGAGGCTGAGAGAGCCAGAGGATGGATGCTGGATGGTGAACATCAACAAGCATCATGAATAGGAGACAGACCCTCCAAAATCAAAGCAGCGAGCCAGCTTCAAGAGACCCATGCATTCTGCAAAGAGGAAGGGGAGGCCTCAGAGCGCCTTGGCGGGGGGAGCAGGAAACCCAGGCCTGGTGTAGTTGCAAGGAAGCAGGAGTCTTGGTCGCTGCTCTAAGCCTGGAGGTGCTCCATCCTGGGTCTGTGGTCCCTAGGCATGACCTTCTCCTCTCTGCACCTCCAGTGTCTCACCCTCTACTGATAGGAATGGTGTCTGGAAATTCAGAGACCAGCTCCACCTGTGCGCCGTGACCGTCAGCCTTAAGTCGATTCTGTTGGCGGCAAAGACGTTGCTTCACTAAGCCTGTGTGCACCTGCCCTCCTTAAAATGTTGATGGCCCTGACCCAGGAGACTGTGGATGAGCCAAGACCTTTGTAGAAGATCAGCGGTCTAACTTTCAAATGTTCCAGTCCTTGACAGCACGCCACCGAGTGCCCCTGCGGCCCACTGTAAATGCAATTAATTTTGTTCTAACATAGCTTTGAGGGCATTTTCAGAATATGGCTCTGAAGATTATTTTGCTAATTTAATTTGCAGCGCTTATGGCTTCTTAGACATCATTGTACATAGTTAGGAATACCTTGAAGGGGAAGAATCTACTCACTGTTTTTAAATACTGCAAAATTTTTATGATATGAAATTTAACCATTTACAGAGCTAACATATGCTAGATTTCATAGGCTTTTGGAAAGTTTTGCTTATTTTTATTTATTTGAAAGACAGAAAGAGAGACAGACATACACAGTGAGCTCTCCTATCTACTGGTTTACTCCTGAAATGCCTGCAATGGTAGTGGCTGGTGCAGGCTGAAGCCAGGAACCTGGAACTCACTATGGGTCTCCCATGTGGGTGGCAGGGACCCACGCACTGGAATCATTACTGCTGCCTCACAGAGTGTGCGTTAGCAGGAAACTGGAATCAGGAGTGGAGTCGGGGGCCAGTGTAGTGGCGTAGTGGGTAAGGCTGCAATATCTACAACATCGACTTCCCACATAGGTGCTGGTTCGAGTCCTGGCTGCTGCACTTCTGATCCTGCTCCCTGCCAATGGCCTAGGAAAAGCAGTGGAGGATGGCCCAAGTGCTTGGACCCCTGTACTCAGGTGGGAGATCCAGATGAAGCTCCTGGCTTCAGCCTGGCCCAGCCCTGGCTGTTGCAGCTCTCTTGGGCAATGATTCGGTGGATTGAAAATCTCTTTCTGTCTCTCCCCCTCTCTCTGTAACTATGACTTTCAAAATAAATAAGTGAATCTTAAAAAAAAAAAAAAAAGAACCAGAGCCGGGGTTTGAACCCAGGTACTCCAATATGGGATGCAGGCATCCCAAGCAATGTCTTAACTACCAGGTCCATGCCCACCCCTCCTAGTCATCATTTAGCTACATTTTCATTTGGTATCGTGGAGTCAGTAAGAATTTCTGCAATGCATACAACATCTGTTGAGAGGGCCTCAGCCTGGTTTCTCTGGCCCCTGATAAGGAAAATGCTCTTGCTGAGACAATGGGGAGATCCCATTTCTTGCAGTTGGTCCATTTGTCTCGTGTCTGCTGGGCTAGGAGCCTGAGCAAGCTCTGAGTGCAGCAAGAAAAGGAGGGCCCCTCCCTCTCAGAAGCTTCAGGTTCAGCCAGTCCTTCGGTCTAGCCGCTGTGTAGGTGTAGGCAAGCTTCGGAGTGGCAGGATGGCGCCTGGCCCGGGGGTTTTCTAGAGATGGCCTTGCACTACATGCAAGCCCGATGCCAGCCCCAGGGCCAGGCTGCCCACAGACACAGTCGACAGCAGCAATGTCTGGTCTGAGAATTGGTTTTCTCTTCCGGATAGTTCCTTCCCGGGCACATTTTTGGGAGCGATGAACAGGTGCATCCTTCTGGAAGGATGGGCAGGTGCTGGGGCGTGAACTGACTCTGCGGGGCGTGCTCTACAGCTGAGGGCAGGTCCCGAGGACCGCCCTGGATTTCCTCTGCCTCTGACTCGTTGCAGATCTTGCCGGTTCCTCCTCTGGAGGTGAAGGTTTGGCCGCCACTCTGCTCTGGTCACTGCTGCTAGACCCTGCTTGGCTGGAAGCTGGAGACGTCCAGAGAAGCTTCGCAAAATCCCACCAGCCTTCCCCAGCCCTGGGTCCACCCCGAAGACCCAGGGCCCCTCTGTGCATTTCCCAGCGGGCGCCACGGTCTCTGGATCCTGTGCTATGCTGGCGTCCCCTCGCCCATGTCTTTATTGAGTTGTGAAGGGAGCTGATGCCTTCCCATCCCAACAAAAGAGAACCAGCGAGCCAGCGTGACGGAAGACACAGTGACCTTGAGCGCAATGAGCACCATGTGGGCTTTTTTTCCATTCCTGTGTCTGGGGGATGGGGAGGGTGACTGTGTAACAAAGTGACAGTGAGTGATTTGCTGACAGTTCATCAGGGGCGCTGGAGAATGCCAAATGACTCATGGAAGCAGCCAATGAGGAACTGAGAGAGAAGAGGGAGACAGGGGCTTCACAGCACTCCAGGGGAGGTTAGCCAGAGACGTCGCCTGCTTGTAATTGGGTCTCAGATGAGCAGGGAGACTTTTTTTTTTTTTTTTTTTTGCATAGTTTGGGTGTATTGTTGTTTATCTGGAATTCAGATTTAATTGAGCACCCTGTGTTTTCTCAGGCCACCCTAGCCCAGGGCACAGAGCTTCTCTTCTTTTCCCAAGTCCCCACACTTGTCCACACCCCGGCCCCCCCAGGAGGCACCCCCCTAGTCTTAGCTTCTGGAGTCACATGGAGACCCCAGGGCAGCTGTGCGTCCTCCCTGCCCCCCCACCCCAGCCCGTGGCGCTTTGCACATTTCCCCACTTTGCTTGTGGTCACTTACAAATCCGCTTCTCCCACTGGACCAGGGGCGACTCCAGGGCAAGGTCTACCTGAGTACTTTTGTTTTTAAAAATGTTATTGATTATTTATCTGAGAGAGAGGCAGAAAAAGAAAGAGATCTCCCATCTGCTGGTTCGTTCCCCAAAGGCACAGCAGAGCCAGGAGCTGGGAACTTAGTCCGCGTCTCCCGTATGGAAGCACCCGACTATTCGAAGCATCACTTGCTGCCTCCCTGCGTCTGCCTTAGCAGGAAGCTGGAGTCCGGAGCCTCCGATGTGGGATGCGAATGTCCCAGCTGCTGCGCCAGACGGCTGCTCCCTGTGTCCACATATTTTTCTCCACGACCCTCAGAGAGCTGTGCCTGAGCCTGATGCACAAAGGCACTTCAAAAGGGTTTTGGGAAATGGAGTTAAAAGCTATGTTTATTTTGGTGCAAAAAAAAAAAAATCTAAGCATATAGAGGTCTTTGAACCATTCATGGAAATGCATATTATGAAAAAACTATGCATGATTTTTTTTTGCACCAAAATAAGCTTATCATTTAATTCTATCTTCTCACAAACTTCTTGAAGTGTGCTGGTCTGGTGGGTACTCTGAGAATGTTTCCTGAATGAAAGAATGATCAAAACCCACATACTTCCTGCTGTAGTGGGCACTCTGAATGTTTGCAGGATGAATGAATGAACGAATGATCCAAGCCAACATGCTTTGAGTGCTGTGGGCCAGGTGTGGTTCCAAGCCCTTTGCATGGCTTTAGGTCCTTTAATGTTCTAGGAATCCTTTGCAGTAAGCACTGCTGTCATTTCCAAAAGATTTATTTATTTATTTGAAAGAGTTACACAGAGAGGAGAGGCAGAGAGAGAAAGAGAGATTCAGTCTTCCATCCGCTGGTTCACTCCCCAGTTGGCCTCAATGGCCGGAGCTGCACCGATCCGAAGCCAGGAGCCAGAGCTTCTTCCAGATCTCCCATGCAGGTGCAGGAGCCCAAGGACTTGGGCCATCTTCTGCTGCTATCCCAGGCCATAGCAGAGAGCTTGATCAGAAGTGGAGCAGCTGGGACTGCGCCCATATGGGATGTCGGCTCTTCAGGGCAGGGCGTTAACCCACTGTGCCACAGCGCCAGCCCTTGTCATTTCCATTTAAACACAGGATAAATGGATGTACAGAGAGGCTAAGTACCTTGGCCAAGGTCAAGGGCAAAGCTGGCTTTGAACCTAAGCAGTGTGGCTCCACCTCTGTAATGAATAAACAGGAGTAAGAGAAGGCATGACTGAACAGAGGCCAGAAATGGGTATGAAACTCAGGGAGGGGGGATGAGCGTAGTGGCACCGCGGGTGAAGCCACCACTAGGGACACCTGAGTGTCCCATATCTGAGTGCTGATTCACCCTGGCCTCTCCACTTCTGATCCAGCAGCGTCCAGCTCCTGCTCTTGTGCTGGGAGGCAGTGGACGATTGCTCGAGTACTGAAGTTCTTGTCTGCCATGTGACAGACCCTGGTGGCCCTTCTGGCTCCTGGCTTCAGTCTGGCCCAATCCTATTGTTGTGGGCACTTGGGAAGTGAACCAGTGGATTAAATCTCTCTCTCTCTCTCTTGCTGTCTTTCAAATAAATTTTTTTTAAAGTCTGGAATGACTTACAGCGATCTCTATTTCTTAGGCTTGAGCGGTGGAGAAATGCTGGCACCATTCTGTGGGCAGGTAACCTGATAACCTAGAGCCACGAGAGCTGTCTCGTGCTGCCGATGACTGCGACCGAGGGCAGGCTGTGCAGCTCCTGAGCTTCCATCTGCTCTCGGGACCAGGCCTTAATGACACAACTTCCTCCTGACTCCACTGGACACTTCTGCCAGGACAAGGTGGGATGCGAGGGCCACGTGGGGGACATGGGAGCCACGTCTCGTCGTCTCAGCAGCCGTCAGCCCCTCGAAACAGAAAGAACTCACGCTGCTCTTTTCAAAGAACTCGAAAGCTCAGAGAAGCATTTGGAGCAAGGAAATGTTTAGCCATCATTCCATCACCCAGGGGCAACCACGGATAACATTTTGTCTGCTTCACGTGGCCTTGGGTCCTAAGGGAGGCCAAGTTCTTTAAGCTTTGAGAAGAGCTACTCATTTTCACAGCAATCAGTAGCCAGCTGAACAGAGCTCTCAGGTTCTTAAATGCGTCATTCTTTGTGCTAGTTCACTCCTTCCAAGTGTCACTTTGAGTGAAAAGCAATTAATTATAATGGAAAGGCTGCTTGGAGACGACTTATAAAATTATGTTAATATGGAGAGTGGAGGTAGGAGAGAGAAAGAGAGAGAAGGGGGAAAGAGCTGATGGGTAAAACAACTAAAGCCTATTTTATTTCATTTTATTTATTTTTAAAGATCTTATTTTATTTATTTGACTGGCAGAGTGACAGAGAGAGAAATATCTTCCATCTGCTGTTCACTCCCCAGATGGCCGCAATGATCAGGGCTGGGCCAGGCCAAAGCCAGGAGCCTGGAGTAGGTGGCAGGGACCCAAGCACTCAGGCCATCTTCTGCTGCTTCCCCAGCACATTAGAAGGGAGCTGGATTGGAAGTGGAGCAGCTGAGACCTGAATCAGCGCTCTGATAGGAGCCGCCAGTGTCGCAGGTGGCTTAACCTCCTGTGCCACAGCACTGGCCCGCTGAGGTCTATTTTCATGGATAATTTCCTTTCCTTGCCAGTTTCAGAGTTGTGGATCTATATGTCTATGAAAAGACTAGGAAGCTGTTTTGTAGTCCCAATTTGTCAAAATCAGTAAAGCTCAACTGAAAGGAAAGTTGATAGAGCAGCAGCAGCGGCAGTGGCAGCAGGCCTCTGCTAAATGTCATTAACATTTTTTTCTTTTTTAAAGATCATTGCTCTATTCGTTCAGGGGGGAAATAAAAATGATGGATGTTGAATTTTATCAAATGTTTTTCTGCATCTACTGAGATGATCATATGGTTTTTGTCCTTCATTATAATGATGTAATGGATCATTTACTGATTGATTATTGATTGGTTTATGTATATTGAGCTATCCTTGCAGCTCAGGGATAAATCCCATTTCATCATGGTGGATGATCCTTTTTTAAAAAATGTTTATTTTATTTTTTATCTACTTGAACAGTAGAGAGAGAGTGAGAGAGAGAGAGAGAGAGATCTTCCATCTACTGATTCACTGCCCCAAACATCTACAACAGCCAGGGCCAGGCCTGGCTCAAGATCAGGCACCTGCAGCTCTCTCTGGGTCTCCCACATGGGTGGCAGGGGCCCAAGCACCTGAGCCGTCATCTGTTGCCTCCGAGGGTGCATCAGCAGAAAGCAGTATCGGCTATATCAGGGGCTGAGTAGCTGGGACTTGAACTGGCCCTCGGATACAGGATGCAAGTGTCCCACGTGGTAGCTTAACCCACTGTGCCACAAGGCTCACCCCCTGGATGACCCCAGGAGTGTACTGTCGAGTTTGGTTTGTGGCATTCTGTGGAGGACTTGTGCGCTTGTATTCATCAAAGATATTGCCCTCTGATCTTTTCTTGTGAAGTCCTTGTCTGACTTTGGTTTCGGGATAATTAATGCAGCTTCATAAAGAGTTTGGAAAGATTCCTTCTCCCTCCGTTTACTGGAATAGTTTGAGAAGAATTGCTATTAGTTCTTTAAAAGTTTGGGAGAATTCAGCAGTGAAGCCATCTGGCCCTGGGCTTTTCTCTGTTGGGAGACTTTTTACTGCTACCTCAATCGTGTTCATCCTTTTTGCACTGTTTCTTCTAGGTGGAGGCTGAAAGAATTAACCTCACGGAAATCTAAGAGTGCTCCCAAGATGGAATTAAATGGTAAGTTTATTTTGGTGTGAGAAACTTGGGAATCCAAGCACCCCTGAGGATGGCCTGGGGGAATAATGCAGGGGAGGGTATGGTGCCCAGTAACCACTACAGCTGCTCTTCCTAGGGTGGAGGAGGGAGTGGGCTTCTGCATCTTCTCTTTATTTATTTATTTGAAAGGCAGAGGGACAATGACAGAGACAGACAGAAATCTTCCGTCCACTGGGTCACTCCACCAGGTGCCTGCAGCAACTAGCGCTGGGCCAGACCAAAGCCACGGTTCTGAAGTTCATCCAGCTCTCCCATGTGGGTGACAGGGACCCAAGTATTTGAGTCGTCACTTGCTGCTATAGGTGTCCCAAGGGTGCATTAACTGCTATGCAAATGGCTGCCCCAACTTCTCTTGGTGGGGAGTTGGGGATGGGGAAGGGTCACACTTGGAGAGGAAGTGGGCTGTTGTCTACCTACGTTCTGATTCCTTGTTAATCTAGGCTTCCAGTGACTTGATTGGGCAAGGGCTGTGTGTAAGTGTATGGGGGGGACATACAAGGTGGGGAAAGCTCAAAAGAGAAGAAAAATAAACTATTTATTAAACACCTACTGTATACTAGACACTGTGCCTAAGCACTTAAGGAAAAAGCCAGTTTTGCAAAAGGGTTTAAGCAATTTGCCCAAGCATCTGGTCCAGGCTTATCTGCCTGACCGAGGACACCCTCCGTTTTGTGTGGACCTATAGGAAGAATTCCTCCATCCCCTTCGTCAAGAGTTCGAGTCTAACCTTGCACGCATAAGGTAGGGTTTCATGAGGCACAGTCTCCCCACCATGAAAAGTCAGAGATTTGCCTTTTGGGGGTGTTGAGGGGCTTCCTGCCAGTGATAAGGAACTGTGCCATCACTGGCTCCCAGCAGCAGTTGGGGCCTCTCCCAAAGGGCCCGCAGCTTGCAGACTCTCCTAGGCCGCTTGGAAAGCAAGCAGGCCCCGTGGTCCCTGCCTGGACTGACTGAGGCAAGCCTCAGCCTGTAGGCCGAGCCTGGCACACAGTGGGGCAGTGGGCCGACTGCTGTCCGTGGCACCCACAGAGCCACATTTCTTGCCAAACAAACTTGAGTTTCAGCACGTCCAGAAAGCACAGGAGCTGTGAGAGTGGCTTTGCTGTCAACTCTGGCGCTGGGCCAGAGGGCCTCCTCGGCAGTCCGGCAACACAGCAGGTGGAGGAGACAGGAGGCCTGGCCACTTGGGCCCCTGGGGAGCCGACGCTCTCTGGGGAGCATGAAGGGCCACCCAACACCAGAGGACCGGGGTGCGGCAGGACCACCGTGCAAGCCATTCCAGGTGATGGAGGTGAGCTTTTGGCGAGTGTACCGATGGGGAAACGGAAGCCCAGAAAGAAGGGGACTTTCCTGGGCCACATGCTGGGGCTGGGGGCGGACTAGACCAGAGGAATGCAATGTTCTTTCCATTTCCCGGGTGCCCTGGTTCTCTCAGGGACTGAAATCATGAAGGGTTTATCTGTGTGAGACTGGTCTGCTGAGGGACCTTTTTGCTTTCAGTCAACCCTGTGATGTCTTGAGAATTTCCCTCTGAACAGAGACCTGTCGTATCTTCTTGATGATAAGAATAGGCCAATCCATCATCTCTACCAACAGAACATTCTGCACCCCAAATTTTGGTTTCTGTGCCCCAGTCCAATGCCTACATCTATATGGATAACCCATACCAGCCATCTCTACCTCTTTTATGAGGGTAATTCAATATCCTCATTGAATTTAAAGATATTAAAAGATAGCTTATTTTGGTGTAAAGTATTTTTGAAATTCATGCATACAAGGGTCTTCAAGAAGTTCTTGGAGGAACCGGTGCTGCGGCATAGTGGGTAAAGCCTCTGCCTGCAGCACTGGCATCCCATATGGATGCCAGCTCAAATCCTGACTACTCTACTTCCCATTCAGCTCTCTGCCATGGCCTGGGAAAGCCGTGGAAAATGGCCCAAGTGCTTGGGCCCCTGCACCCACATGGGAGACCTGGAAGAAGCTCCTGGCTCCTGGCTTCTGATTGGCCCCACCAATCCAGCTGTTGTGGCCATCTGGGGAGTGAACCAGCAGATAGAAGATCTCTCTCTCCCTCTCTCTGTCTCTGTCTCTGTCTCTCTCTCTCTCTCTCTGCCTCTGCTTCTTTGTAACTCTGTTTTTCAAATAAATACATAAATCTTAAAGAAAAAGTTCTTGGAAAGTCCATATTGTGAAAAGCTATGTGAAGATTTTAAAGTTTTCTTTATCAGAATAAACTGTCTTAATTCCATTTCCCATGAACTTTTTGCGGTATCCTGATATACATCATATTTTTCCATGTCATTTGTGATAGGCTTTTTTTTCCTCCATTGTATGTACCAAAGTTTATTAATAATATAGAGGTCAGTCCTTAGGTTTTTTACATTTTTTATTTATTTTTATTTATTTTTTTTGACAGGCAGAGACAGAGAGACAGAGAGAAAGGTCTTCCTTTGCTGTTGGTTCACCCTCCAATGGCTGCTGTGGCCGGAGTGCTGTGGCCAGCACACCGCGCTGATCCGAAGGCAGGAGCCAGGTGCTTCTCCTGGTCTCCCATGGGGTGCAGGGCCCAAGCACTTGGGCCATCCTCCACTGCCTTCCTGGGCCACAGCAGAGAGCTGGCCTGGAAGAGGGGCAACCGGGACAGAATCCGACGCCCCGACCGGGACTAGAACCCAGTGTGCTGGAGCCGCAAGGCGGAGGATTAGCCTATTGAGCTGTGGTGCTGGCCTATTCCTTAGGTTTTTAAAAATTCTGTTTCTTGACACATGTCCTAGCTTGTTGCAACCAATACCAGACAGGAAGTGATACACAATAGTCTCCTCTCCTGATTTTCAGGGATCTGTGCCTAGAGTTTTCTGATAAGTGGGTGTGGCTGGAATTACATATTCTTCGTATTGTTAAGGATTTTTAAAGATTACATTCCTTTTAGGCATTTATTAGGATGATCACATTTTTCTTTCTTATTAAAGCAATAAGTTATAAAAATAGATTTTCTGATCTTGAATCAGCCTTGTTGTCATCATGAGATATTTTTCCTTTAAATGTATTGCTTGAATTGATTTGCCAATATTCAACTTGATATTTTGGCAAATAGATTTATATTCTGCTTTTTCTGTGTACAGTAAATGTTTGTGCTTGGCTCAGTATCTTAAGTCACTTCTGGTTCAAATCCCAGCTACTCTGCTTTCAATCCAGCTTCCTGCTAACGTGTATCCTGAGAGTATCCTCAAGTATTTGGTTTCCTGCCACCCATACGGGGGACCTGGATGGAGTTCTGGTCTCATGGTTTTGGCCTGGCACAGCCCTGGCTGTTGCAGACATTTGGGGTATGAATCAGTGGACAGCAGAACTTTGCCTTTCAAATAAAGTGAAAATATTAAATAAAAAGTTTTTAAAAAGCAAATGATATAAACAATAAAAGATTTGGTATGAATTCTATTTTAGATTTGTGAAACAAATTAGGGAACATTTCAGTTTTTTGTGCCATGGAATTACCTAAATACCATAGGAGTAATATAGTACCTGAAGCTTAAAGCAGTTCACCTGGGGGGCCAGCACTGTGGTACAGTGAGTTAAAGCTGTGGCCAGCAGCGCTGGCATCCCCTATGGGTGTCAGTTCGAGTCCCTGCTGCTCTACTTCCTATTCAGCTCCTCACTAATGCACTTGGGAAAGCAGCAGAGGATGGCCCAAGCCCTTGGGTCCCTGCACCCAAGTGGGAGACCCAGAGGAAGCTCCTGGCTCCTGGCCTTGGATTGGCTCAGCTTCAGCCCTTGTGGCTATTTCAGAAGAGGACCAGAGGCTGGAAGGCCTCTCTCTCTGTATATATATCTCTCTGTAACTCTGTCTTTTAAATAAACAAAATAAATCTTAAAAAAAAAAATTCACCTGTAAAACTATGTGGGTGTGGTACCTATTTGGAAGGGTTTTTTTTTTTATTAATTTATAAAGATGGTTTAGTTATATTTTCCTTTAATTTTGAAAGGCAGAGTTAGAGAAAGAGAGAGAGAGTTAGAGAGAGAGAGAGAGAGAAATCTTACATCCACTGGTTCACCTCCGCAAATGGCTCCAACAACCAGCGTTGGCCCAGACCAAAGCCAGGAGCCAGGAGCTTCTTCCAGGTCTCCCACGTGGGTGCAGGGGGCCAAGCACTTGGGCCTCCACTTTTAGCAGGGAGTGGTATCAGAAGTGGTGCAGCCGGGACCCAAACCAGCGCCCATATGGGATGCTGGCATCACACGGCTTCACCCCTGTGCCACAGCATGGGCCCCTCCGGAGGTTATTTTAAAAACAACATTTATAGGCTTTCCCATTTTTACATGTTCTTTCTTTCCTCAAAATAGTTTGGTAATTTATATTTTTCTTTCTTTCCTTCTTCCCTCCCCCTCTCCTTCCTCTTCCTTCTTCTTCCCCTTCCTCTTCTTAAGGTTTGTTTATTTATTTGAAAAGCAGAGTTACAGAGAGGGAGAGACAGAGAGAGAGACATCTTTCATCCTCTGGTTCACTTCCCAAATGGCCGCAACAGCTGGAGCTGGGCTGATCTGAAGCCAGGAGCCAGGAGCTTCATCCAGGTTTTCTACATGAGTACAGGGGCCCAAGCACTTAGGCCATCTTCTACTCTTTTCCCAGGCCATTAGCAGGGAGCTGGATCAGAAGAGGAGCAGTCAGGTCTCGAACTGGCACCCACAAGGGATGCCGGCATTGCAGGTGACAGCTTAACCTGCTATGCCACAGCACCGGCCCTGGTAATTTATGTTTTTCTAAAAAATTGCCTATTTTAATTCAAATATTGAAACTCCTTTAGAATCTGTCATTATGTTTCTTTTCTAATTTCCATAACTGTTTGTGTTTATTTCCCTCTTTTTTCCCAACATGGGGGACTATGATTTCTTTGTCTCGATTGTTGATCCTTTTTAAGGGATTTGCCCTTGGATTTATTTATTAATTCTACTTTGTGTGCATGAGCATGTGTGGCACGGCACATATGTGTCTGGGTGTTTAATTCCTTAACATCTGTTTTTACCCCTTTTATCTATTTTATTAGACTTAATTGTTTTCATGCCACTGTTTTGAGCTGAACATTGAGTTTATTTTCATGTTTTTCTTATTTTAAAAACTAAAGTATTTAATCCCAAGTGTTTTTCTCCAAGTGCAGGTTTAGCTG